TGAGGTCTAAAAGAAAAGCGATATTAAGAATTTTGAAAAATCAGACTTTAGATAGCTATAAATTTTAACGGCCATTTTGTTTTTTTTAAAGTTAAAATATGGTACTCGTATACTGCAGTAGAAGAAGCAATATCCACTACTTTTCTTGCAAAATTTGAGAAATGCTACAATAAATAGTTAAAAAGTTCCAGTTTTTTGGGATTTTAAGGGGCTATAACTTTTAAAGTGAATAAAATAGATAACAATCTTTTTCCAAGTTCAAATAAGTTTTTAGTACAAATGAAATTTCAGCTTTCTATGTTCAACGATGTCCAAGTTTTGTTAACATGTCCACGACAGATTGAAACCAATAAGCACTTTTTTTTTAAATATTTTGAAAAACAGGAAAAAACTTAAGAAAACAAAAACAAAACAAAACAAAAAAAACAAAGAGGTCCTGTTTTAATTATTATATTAGCTCTTTGTTCCTGCATAAGTATTATCCTTCATATGAACCTTGGAAATATTAATTAAATCTATTAAATTAAACTGTTTATTGTTTTTGTTGTTCTTTTTTTTGGTATTTACTTTATCTTATACACACTTATATTTTATTAAATTTAATACGATTAGTACGATGATGAGAAAAAAATTATAAAATGAATCAAATTCTATTAGAACCTATACCTTTATTAATAAATTAACACTCAAAATATTTTTTATAGTTATGTCGATAAAGCTATACAGGACCTTAAAACAAAGATATTCTATACAATTAGTTTGATATTTTAAAATTTAAATTTAATAAGGATTTAATAAAGAAATTTAATTTCAATGAAATTTTTTTCTCATAACGCAAATACATTCTAGTTTAAGAATTGTCATAGAGTTGTAAAATAAATTGTAATACTTTTGGGAACAAAATGTAGAATTTTTGAGGAACATTTAATTGGCGATCCAATTGGATTCACGTTCAGTTTCTTTGATAATATTCCTACTAAAGATTTAATGATAAAAACTTTTGAAGTGTTTTTGCCATTATCACGTAAAATTTTTACAAATACTTATTTATAGAAAGGTTGCAAAATATTATTGCGTTATAAGTCAAACAAATAATTTAAGTAAGAAGTATTGAACTAAAAATAATTGTTAAGAATAATATATATTATTAATAGCTCGAAATTTCTGTACAAAACGCAGAGAATTCCATCTCTTTTTACATAAAACTTAAATAACTTTGTATTCGTTATTCCAAAAGTAAAATAATGTAATAATCCCCACTTTCTCCATTTCTATATGAATAATACACAATGTACAAATGAGTATAAATAGTGAAGGAAGTAGAAATTCTTAGTAGTCATTCTTAATATTAAAATTATTTATTTATTTAATATGAATCATTTCTATATTTAATAATTTAGGGCAAAATATCATTAATATATATTGTACTGATTAATCATCGATACAGAGTGATTTCTAAAGTTACATAATTGAAAGTGGTATGTAGTACTATAAAAAAGCTTAAATTTTAAGAAGAAGTTTCTGGAACATAATATTTAGCATTACGGAAATATTGAGATTTAAAAATGCTTTGTTTTCTTGGTGGTATAACGAATAGTTTTTAATAACTTCTTCATCTATTAATATTGCTTTATATAAGTTTTCTTTCTGATAATAATCGAAGTGACCACATTTTCCATTTTGTCGCCTAGGTGCGATTTTGATATATACGTCACTTTCGTGAGTTGTAACTCACGAACTCTTTCATAGATTTCCGAGGATGATCCTTAAAACGGATGATATGCAATCCGTTTTTTGTTATCATATGCACAGTTCTATAAATACGCAGATGTTTTATTGATCAACCTCCATTTTTAATTCCAATTGAAATCCAATAATGGAAAATGAGAAAACAAATTTTTTAATATTTTTAATTTGTGCTCTTCTGATCTATATCCATAAAAATCTTTGATCAAGTCATACAAAATGAACATTTAAGAAGCAAAAACGATGACACAGTCTGATTGGAATTTATTTTACACAATTATAACTCTCGGACCCTATTTCGAAATTCAACAAAATCTTGTGTTCTAAGCCTATGAAAGCTATATAAAAGCCACTAATATAAAACAAAAAAAAATCGTATCGCGCAATTCTGAAATTAAATGTTGCTAAACTGTAGATATGATTTTCTCGCTTCATAAAATATATCACATGGAAAAAAAAATGGTACTGAACCGACGAGTTGTTGTTGCAGTTCGAGGCATTCCTAATATATTGTAAAAATTTTACTGACTCATACCAATTGCTAAAAAGTCAATAACGTTATTTAACCTATAAACCAATCCCACCCGTTCCAACATGATTTAATCATTCTAACTTTATTCACGTTATTTTATTTATATTTTTATACACGTTCACACTTTTTACATATTTAATTTTAATTATAGCCTTATAATTATTTGAATTTAAATATGTGAAATTGTAATTTGAATAATAATTGAAAACAATTTTTGATATGACAGCTATGGGAGAAAGAATACATTCAAAATTATTACATTTATATCGCTTACATCATATCTTCCCTAAACAATTCATTAATTCCTTCAGGAATCCAACATTACAATAAAATAATTTTAAATTTTGAAATTTTTATAATATAAAAACAAAACAAAAATGACAAAAAAAAATTGATAAAACTAAGATAACAGAAATTCAAATAGAAAATGTAAAATAATTACTTTTTGTTTCGAGCCTCCCTGTAGAAATTTTCATTTATAGGTACGTCAAAAAAGATTGAAAATAAAACAAAAATTATATGCAATAATAAATAAAAGAAAAAAAAAAGAATTTAGTAAGCAAAATAAATAAAAATTATCACTTAGGGAAAGGTTAAAATTTTTAGAATAAAAATTTGTCACGTAATTTTTCCATTTAGTCTAACTTAATCCTTAAAGTGTATCAAAATAAAACAAAGATATAATATTATAAAAAGAAAAGAGGAAAGGATACCAAAACAAAGAGAAACAACAACATTATTTACCATGACAATGTTAAGTGTTTTTATTTTTTCTGTTTTTTCTTTTATAATAAACACACATGTAATTTTAACTGGCAAATATTTTTATTTTTGTTAGTAACAAAATACTTACATGTTTGTTAATATTGTGCCTGTATATGAATATAATGTTTATAAAATATTAAACACACCTATATACTTTTTTTTTTCCAAATGACAGACACAAACCATTCTGTCTTCTGTGTTTCGTTTCGTTTACTTTTTTATTTTTTTTTTTATTCTTTTATTTTACTCTCCATTTTTTTTTTGCTTTCTATAAAGAACAAAACAATTTCCTTGTTCTCTGTCCCTTCGTTAATCTCCTCACGCTAAGTTTCTCTTCATTGCTTTTTACTCTCATGAGAAAATATCGCACAGCACAGCACACAGCATATAGCACAGTAAATTCTACCGGTATTTTTTATTATTTCTCAAATAATAATATTTTTTTTTTGTTTTTCATTTACAGACTTTTTATTTTGCTCATTTTCAATTTTATTTTACTTTTGTTTTTGTTTTGTTGTTGTTTTTGTCATGTTGCTTTCATTACTTTTGTTCTTTGAGAATTTATTTGCAATTGTAACTTTCATTCTTATTTATACGTGAATTAATTTCATTAAAATACGAGCTCTTTTAAAAAATAATAATGTAGAATGCAAAAACAAGTCGAAATGCTGGATGTTCTTGTAAATTCTTGGTTTGTACCCTCATTTAATAAAGCACAAAATAATTTTCCCACTTCCCATTTTTCTCCTACAGTTTTTTTTGCCTTTTTCCGAAATAAAAAATGATTTGAATGTTTTGATGATGACTTTTCAACAAAATCTCCTCTTACAAACATTTATAATAAAAAAAAATTTCTGCAATATTGTAACTACCTACTCAAGCTAAAGTTTCGGTAAATTATATACTGATATTGAATAATGTAATTTGTGGCCCCTAAATATATGCAATATTTTATTAATTAAATACACAATATAAGATATTATAACAATAAAATGTAGCATTGTATTTTTGCAAAATATTTCGCAAAATTATTTATCAAAAACCTTTTCAAAATTATTTAACATTGCTCTTGAATTAATTATATAAGACCCTTTAATGGAATATACTATACAATGAAATATTACAGAATAAAAAAAAATTAAATAATTTCCATACCTAGCTACTTGTACGAAAATATTATAAATTCTAATAACGAAACATAAAATTTAAAAAAACAAAAGTTAATCACCTTATACTTTATTTAAAATAATTTTAATTAATTACAATTAAAATACTTACCTATGTTTGTACTATAACAAAAATCTTCTACTTCCTATATGGATCATAATATTATTCTTATGAATTACCTATACATTATGAAATAAAAACATAAAATTAACTAAGGCCTAGTAGTAACAGGACATAGTTAGAAATCGAAAATTGTAAATAAAGCACGAATAACTTAAGCCCTTAATAAAGAACGAAAATTACTTAAAATGTATTTAATATAAAACTCGTACAATTTTTTTCATTCATTCAATAATAATAATAATAATATTAAGGTAGTCACTATACTCTTGTGATAATGTTAAAATTTAAATTCGAAAAAATAAAAACAAGTAAATGTAAAAATGAACAATAAAAAATAAAAATTCAATCTTAATTTAATCTGAATAATTTAACTGGCATTCCATATTAATAAGATTTTCAATTTATACTTAACAAATATATTTACACACTTACACACACACATACTATTATCTATTATAATTCCAATTTAATAGCATACAAAAAATATTTTCCAAGCAGACATACCCATCGTACACTTACCTAAATATAACAGTATGGTATGTAATAATATGTATCTATATATATATATATGTAATGATATCTGAAATTCTCATATATTTAAGTAATGAAATAAATAAAAGCTTTTAAGTGTGAGAATTCATTGTCAAAAAAAAAAAATTATTTACAGTTGAACATGTTATACACTTAAAGAAAGATTCTTCATTAAAATTTCGTATATACCCGTACTTGAACTCATTTTTAATTTACAAGAAAAAAAAATACAAAAAATAAAAAGTAAATAATATCAAAAATTTTATTTTTTCACACAACATTCAAACATACACACATAAACTTGTTTGAATAATATTTTAAACAAAAACAAAACGGAAACAACAAAATGTATGAATGTATGTATGTATAACTGAATGTAAATTAAAAAAAAAATAAAAAATAATTGCAAAATGTATTCAAATAATTTTTATAATCAAATAAAATTTATTGAAATTCAAAATAAACAAAAAATAAAACTACAATAATTTTTTATTCGTGTTTGAAAAATATTAAAAAAAAAAAAAAATAAAATGTAGGAAAAATTTAAATTATAAAAAACTGTGGTAAAGATGAAGAAAATTAAAATGAAAATTTGATTATAAATAAAAAATAAATTTTTTTTTTTTTGAAAATATAAAAAGGATAATAAAAAACAAAATCAATATTCAACCTTTAAGGGAAAAAGTTTTATTTCATAAGTTCAGCACAAAATTTTGTTCAACGATGTGGTCACCAGAATCAGAAATTAATGCAATCGCAATGGCAACAATGCGGCATTCAACATCTGCATCTTCTGGTTTGTATACATGCTTATTTAATTTAATTTTTATAATATAAATTATTTATGATTACATTTATAAAAATGGCGTACATAACAACGAGAATGCTATAATATTTTTATAAATTTATTTAACCTTCTCTATCTACATCCATTTTTAGTAACATTACATACTTACAGCCGGGTATATCACACCAACTATAAAGCTAAGAACTCCAGTTGTATTTAAACGAATTTGTCATTTTTTCATAAACCGTTATTTATTTTCGTTGTTTTTCTCTTTTAGCTTTAAAAAAAAGGGATTTTTCAATATTGTGAAATTAAAAAGACCTGCATGTATCCTTATATAATATCCTTATAATATAATATAGCAAATTTTCAAAGAGCATACGAGAAAATTAAAAAATAAACATTATTTCTTATTTTTTAAATATAACTTTAATATGCAAAAGAAAGGAACATGAAATTGATATATTCAGAGCCGGTTTTCTTATCGATTACTACAAAAAAATATATAAATACACACATATACACATTATTATTTTTAAAAAATTGATTTTTCGTTGCAATCCGTACAAATTGGAGCTCTATGCAAAAGTGTTTACTCACCTTTTTATAGACGCGAACAGTTCAACTTTTGCTGTAAAGTTAACAAAATGACAGTAAATAACAAAAACTTAATTTACATTAGAAAGCTCCCGATTTTAAATTTCATATTAATGGTTTCTTTGAAAAAATAAGAAGATTGTAGTGGATTTGGAATTGGTGGACCCAGGTATAAGTATTGACAGTTAAATATCTTATCTCTATCTAAGAATATTTTTGACGAGGTAAGAAAAATATATTTTGACAAATTCTTTTAAATTGATACTTGTACAAGTAATGATTTTCCTTAGCAAATATTAACTTCTTCTACTTTTGTTTCAAAAGTCACATTTAATGTAATTGCTAATATTATGTATTTATTACTAATGTCATATACTAGATGTACATGTGTCTATTAGGCTCCCAAGTTCAATAATTTATTTATTGTACGTATTTTAAGAATTAAAAATTGATTACATTAAACTTTTAAAAAAACTACCTTTTGCATAATAACTCGGAGAAAAAATTATTTTTTTTTGAATATTTTAAATATTATTCTTTGTTCACATCAACACAAGCGAAGAGAAACAAATTGAACAATATAGTGTCGATTTCAATCAATCGAAATTTTAAAATGAGATTGGAGGAGCTTCAGAGAAACTTTCCCCTGAGATTTGAGGTACATTCAAAACTTTTATAATTCTGAATAGAGACGTTTTCTCAGCAAATTGCTTCATAAATTTACTTCAAGCAATCTTTTATATTATTTAATTTTTTTTACCGACCGCATACAATATTAGAGAGGTTATGTGGTGGCATCAAATTTGGTATATTGAATATTTACGTATACAATATTTTAAAAATTTAAAACCAATCTTGAAAATAATTTTTTGGACTGCTCAGGCCTAGACTCGATGAGAGAGCGAAAAACTTTTTAGAAATTATTTGAAACATCTGAATTATTTAAAGACTTGGTGTATTTAAATCTATTGTAATAATTATAACAGTATGATGAAATAACAACTTTATAATAACATTTTAAGTTAAAATTTAATCCAACATTTAATCTAAACTTAAACCAATTAAATTGTTCATCTTTCCTATATTTAGATTTATCAAAAGTAAATATTTCTCTTATTCGATAATTTTTGCGTATTGGAAATGTATCAATCAGATTTCAAGAGACTCTGATTATTAATATTTATAAAATTTACATAATTCCAATAAATTTGTTTTTAGACGCATTCTCACAAAAAAATATATAGCAAAAAATGTTCATTTTCTATGTTTACTTTATTATGTTTATTTAAAAATACAAACGTCTGAAGTTGAAATATAATCAAATCACATACTCTGCCACATACGCTTCTTAATATACCCATAGTTTTCGCGCAAGAGTGACTTATTAGAAAATTTTAATTGATTTCACAACTATACCTTAAATATGTCTACATATAAGATATATTACAAAGTTATCGATACCGATAATATTAGCGCTAGTATATTAGAAAAATATTTTACAAGATGCTCTTAAAAATTTTGTTTCGTAAAGCTTAAACTTAATTAAACCAATTGGTGGAATATTTTTTAAGTAAATTAAGAGAACTCAAAAATGATTTTAAATAGTCGGACATGTTTAATTAAAATTGTTTTGACAACAGCGCCAGTGATTAGATAAATTGAAAGTTCTATACCAAACCAAAGTGCAAAAAATAAAACTTCCAAAAAATAAATTGCAATTTTCAAATATTTATTACATAATTTCTTTACTTTCAAGTTGCAATATTACAATCAAAATGTTGTGTTATTCACCATTGGTCTTACAGCTAGTCTGAATTTAAATAATAACCTCCTGGGCCATAATCATCTTCATCTTCATAATCATCATAATAAGATGTAGTTCCTGGAAAAGCGAATGTAAATCCAAAGAAGCTTAGTAAAACCGTTATTAGTGACTGCACAAAACAAATTTTATTTAATATTTGAGCCAGTAAACAAATTTTTCATAAATTTCATATACTTACCACGTAATGTTTATACATTTTGATTGATTTTTAATTTAAGAGCAACTTTTAGTTTCAGTTGAAAAACTTTTTCTGATGCTTAACTCTTAATTCCTTTTCTATTTATAAGGACAGAGAAGTAGTTCTATTTGACACGTGCATTCAAAGTGAAACAATATTATCAAGCTTATTAAATACTCAATTTAAATAATAATAGGTACAATTTTACGATCGCTAATCATTTTAAGTTTAAAAGTTTTACGTCTTGTAATTAAGAGGTATTGCATTTACACAATATTTTAAATACTGATTATTCGAGATAAGAAACAATTATTTTTTTTTTTAATGTTTTAAATATTATTCTAACACAAGCGAAGAGAAACGACTTGGATAATATAGTATCGATTTCAATCAATCGAAATTTTAAAATGAAATTGGAGGAGCTTCAAAGAAACTTTCCTCTAATAAGATTAAATGTTTACAATAAGCCCTAAAATTTGAGGTACATTCAAAACTTTTATAATTCTAAATAAAGACGTTTTGTCAGCAATATTGCTAAAGAGTGTCAGTAATATTGTAATCATTACGCTTGATAGCAAAATTTTTATTTAAAATTTTTATTTTAAAATGAATTGATGTTTCTTTGTTCAAGTTATGAATTTTATGGTAAATTAATTATACCCTTCCAACCTAATATTCATAAAAAAAGTATAAAGAAAACTTTCTTTATTTTACAAGAATTTTACAATAAATTTCTTTTTTAATAAAAAAACTTATTAAAATCAGCTCCTGCTATGAGACTAAGAAAAAAGAGTACACTATAAACAGCAAATAAATTCATTGGCAATCCTTTTATTTTATATTTAGATCGCGAACATTTTTAACTTGATTATTACATATTTTTAGGATGAACACAAAAAATTTAAAATTTCATTATGATTTGTAATTACAATATTTTTGTATATTTTGAATAAAAATATATTTTCCATTATTTTTTACTTTTCCAAAAAGATGCTGGTCAAAAACTTGATTTAGCCAGCACATAACTGACCACAATATATATAAGTAGTTTTGTGAAAACGTTTTGACACGATTACGAAAATGCTACTCTAGACACTTCTTTCTAATTTGAAGTACACCAGCAGGTTTTAGTTTAAAAAACTTAAAGAATGAAATTTCTAAATAAGAGATTCACTTTATTTTATTTGAATTTAATGAAAAATTTATCAGCTAATTCTAGTTGTTTACAAACAGAACTCGAATATTAAATTTAAAGAAATTCGAGAATTTTCAAATAATGATAAAAAATTTAAAATCGGCTCGTAAAAATTGGAACTACCCAAGGTGTGATAAATCTCATTTTTAAAACTTTAAATGGGTAAGTAATTTAAATACGAGTAGTAGTACGTTATTATGGTAAAAACTTTATTGAAGATTAATTATAACAATTTCCTAATCATAGTAATATTATTTTATATAAAATAACTGCCTTTGACCTTAAAAGACTTAAAGAAATACTGATAAACTAATGCTGCATTTAGTTTACTCGCATTTGGTAGAAATGCGCTAATAATAATAAAAAAATTACAAAAAAAAATTTATTGTATACTTAAAGAAAATTTAAAATGTTCTTGTCGGTTAAAACTTTAAAATTTATTATATTTCTATATTATTATTTTTTATATAACAGAATCCTTTTACTAAAACAATGGCGAATATATTATACCCTATTAAATTATTCATTTAGAATTTAATCTATATGGTAGTTATGTAAGTTATTTTTATTGTTTTATCATAAGGATATTTTCTCATTTCTCTTTCAAAAATTATTGACTACTGAGTCAGCAACTCGCTCAGCATCACATCTAAAATTTGTCTTATTTATTGTTTTTCTTTTTCTTATATTTCAAAAATCTTACTCATTCTTTTTATTCCTATATTAACTTTTATTGCCTTATAAGAGACCAAAAAATTTAGGTAAACCACATCAATAACATTTATTATATGAAAATCCATTTAAAAATGAAAACTGTGCGATGGTAAGCCTTTCAAAATTATACGAACAGTCTTTTTTTCTCTTTCTGTTTTATATGTGGTTTTTAAACTTTGGTTTCCTTTTTTTTTTATATTATTGTTAATGAAAAAATTATTAATATTTTTTTATATGTATGTAATTTAATAATTTGATAGTAAAAAAAGGGGAAAAAAGTAGAAATTCATAGACACTAATAATGATATACTAGCCGTGATCTTTTAAAAAGCAGCAATTCAAATCACAGCCAAAAAATTTATTGGGAGCATTGTTTGTTTTCTGTATTAAAAGTTCTATGCTTAATATTTTTGCCTGATAAAAACGCTTTCTCAATTATTGTTATACAAAAAACAGAAAAATTATAATAATTAATAATAATTAAACATTATTAAAAAATTATAATTACATAAACGTACTAACCTCGTGGTTCCCTCTTTTAAACTGCTAAGTGATTTTTGTTGAACAATTTTTACATTCAACTAAATAGAAATAATTTTAAAGATTTTTTGTCTGATGCTTCTTAATACTTTCTGTTCTTTTTAAAAAATAAAATTCAAAAACTATTTTAAAATACTTTAAATTTCAAATTTATATAAATTATTTTTTATACAGTAAAAATTTACAGCCTAATCGTGTATCTCACGTTTTGTTCACTTTTTATTCACTTTCAAATCAGAATTTTTAGTATTTTCTAATGGATACTTAATTCTTCCAATAAGATTACTCATTTTTTCAATTGAATTTGTGCATTTTTTCTCAAAATATCGACTGAACGAAATAATCCTTCTCACCAGGCTCTAAAAACGAATAACAAAATTTGAA